GAATCATTAAAACCAAAGAAAAAAATACAAAATACAAATGAATATCAAGTAGGAATTATTTCAGTACAAAGGAATTTAATTAAAGAAAGTATTATCATAGAAGAAAATCAATCAACAACATCGAAAAAAGTAAAGTCATATGATATAATACAAGAAATGATACCATCTGACGAAATATTAAAAAAGGAAAGTACATTTTCTAAAAATGGAAATTTTCAAGAAGAAACCCTATCACCAAAAGAAACAATATTTCAAGAAGACCTAATTAGCTTTGAAGATAAAAAAGAAGAATTTATGTTAATTGATTTGAATGAAAATAATAAATTAACATATTTACCGCAACAAGAGATTTCTTCTGATATTTTTATGTTAGATGCTGAACAATTTCAAATGTCTTTTAATGATCATAATTTTGAAAATGAAATGCAAACTTTTGATTACCTTTGTGAAGAAATATATGACTTGTATCAAGGAATGCCAATAGAAAATGATGAACTTGAATCTGTTGTTACAACAACTTGTGAAAAAGAAGTGAATGTTGATGACCTCCAACCAAGACAAATTTCTGAAAATATTCCTAAAATAGAGTATATTTGTGGAAAATTAGACCCATTAATTCCTAAAATATTTAATAATGAACAATTGATACAAGAAAATTCATTATTAATTTACTTACTGCAACAACTACCCCAAATTAATAAATATGAATACTCTAGCATGAAAAACAGTTACCAGCCAGATCTTAAGAGATTTCTCCAGGTAGAATATCAATGGAAAATACGGAAAAGAAAGTCATATTTTACAAAGCTACTGCTCTACTAAAAATCAAAAATATATGTAACAAATTAAAACAAAAGTCTCGGAGGTTATTTTCTGGTAATCTACCGATCGGAATTTCATGAAACAAGGACCATCGTGTGCGCCGAGATGCGCTCTTCAAAATGATATGTGTTACATCATGAACGGACCACTGGATGCTAAGATAATCAAGAAAACATGAAAAAAAGTATTTAATAGAAAATTTGGATAGAGATCTTCATTACTGCGCCACATATCGCGAAAGAAATTCTTAAAAAAAATATTTAGTAAAATAATAACAATATAGGATCACAAATTTACTAAAAGAATTTATTAAAACGCAGAAGGTGATAATACACAAAACTTTATTAAAATATAAGAAAATTAATACAAAAAACAACATATAAAGAAGACTATTTACTATAAAAGAAACAAAAATAATAATCTGCTACAAAAAAGCTGAAACGTATAGCATTCTCTCAAGCAAAAATTAATAGTATTTAATCGTGAAAATGAAGATTAAAAGGAAATTTATACTTAATCCTCATGAGGATGATAAAATCTCACACGAAATCCATACTCTACATTTTGATCGAGAAGTTACTGTGTAATTAGCCGATACTGTCTACGAACTATTTCCAAAGTCTCTCGCAATTGTTGAGTTTATATAACTCTTTCTTGGGAATTTGTTTGAAGAAGATCCCTTCTTGTTGAATTTGAAGGAAATCTTGATATAAACTATCGTAAGCCTCTTGAAGATCTTGAAACCTATTTTCAGTTTGAGACAAAAAATCAGAAAGTTCTATTAGTAAATCATGTGCTTGATTAAATTCTACAAAAAAAGTTCCTGTTTGTTCCAAGGAAGTTGCCAACTGCTCTTGTAAGGTAGAAACTTCTTCGTGACTCTCTTGATGACCTATACATATTAAATATATGGGAGGCAGTCAGTAAAAAAGGGGGAAATCTAAATTTTGGTCAAAATTTATATTATTAGACCACTTGGCTAATCTCAATCATGTGCACAAATTTGGCTTAATAATAAAAATTAACAAAAATTTTGGATTTCCCCTTTTCTATTGATCGCCTTCCAAATGATAACAAAAATATATAATTCTAATATAAACTTAGACATTACCATATGTCATTTTTATATAAATTATTGCTTTTTTAAATTTTAACAACTTTAAATATTTTGAAACTGATAATAATATTGAAAATGTAAAAAAAAAATAGAGAACCTTTCAAAATAAATGATAGTTTCATAATTACTAAAGAAGGTATATATTAAATATATTTAATATAATTTAAAAATTAATAGAATTATATTTTTCACCTTTTTTAAATAATAAGCAATACAGGCTTTTTTTAAGTCTTCTTTGATTAAATCTAATACAATCAAAGAACTTTCTTTCGATTGTCAACCTCTTTAAAATTCAAGTATTAATTCATTAAAAAATTTCATGAACCTAAAACAACTTTCGTCATTAATGTAAAGTAGTAGATTGGATAATTTTAATATTAAAATTAATATTGCAGGTAATTAGATTTAATGTAGTTAATATAGTTTATATTAAAATTAATATTATATGTATATATTATATAAAGTATAATATATAATTTCTTATGATATTACTATATCTAATAAAACTAAAAGCAAGGCTTTTTATTTTTCATTTTAAAATAACTATCCAATTTGTGAAATACTTCTTTAAAAATTATTGAATTCATTAATGCTTTTGAATTTTCACGGTAATGTATTGGAAAATTCTAAATTAATTCTTGAAAGAGATCTTGAATATTTTGTGTTACTAATTACCTATGCCCTATAAGAAATCGAAATAAGGAAATGATACGTTTTTTATAAGGTTTGTATACGTAATTAATGATTCTATATC